CAGTGTTTCACATACATACACACACACTCACACACACCATGCATACACACACGTTTTGTTGCTGCGCATTTTTAAAATAAGTAATACAATTTTATCTAGCGTAAATCAACCGAGTATGAACATGCGGAACGAAGAAATACTGCCAGATTACTTCCGGAAGTGGCTGAATCCACTTCACCTTGTTATTACATCAGTTACAAACAGTTCAGAAATGTTTGCCAGCACGATGGGCGAAGAATGGCATCTGACTTCTAATTTGTGTTTCTGGGGGTAGTACTGGGCTTGAGTGGCTGGAGGACAGCCTTTGCCCATATGCTGTCTTGTGAGTAACTTGCTCACATTCTTCGCACAGTGTTGTGTTTTCTGTTACATTGTTTGTTTTACTTGTGTCAGTCAAGTAAGGTACTATTTTACTGATTTTTAGGAATTAAGAAAGAATAGTTCTGGATATGAACCGCTTGTGTTTTAGTGTGTTACCTATCATGTGGATTTTAACTGTCTTTGTTGTACAGAAGCTTTAATTTTTGGTGCCCTCAGTTTTACTGATGTTTGTGGTGGGGGGGGGTTATGTTTCATATTTTTGTCTCCTAAAGGCCTCCCCTAATCCAAGATGTTATATATGTATGTAGCTAGTCTCCGGCTTTTATAGTTTTGTTTTTGTTTAACCTGTTTGGATTTTTTTTTTTTTTTTTTTTTGGTGACCAGAGTAAAGTAGGCATCTAGGTTCCCTTTCCCCAAATGGATAACTAGTTGTATTAGTCAGGAGAGTGAACTAGTGCCAATGAGGAAGAATTCCGGCATCCGAGTGGCACAGTAGAGGGTAAGGAAAACCAGGGGGGCGCTCAGCTGGCTCAAGAGCGCATGACTCTTGATCTCAGTGTTGTATGTTTGAGCTCACTGGGAGCTGTACTGGGTGTAGAGAGTACTTAAAATAAAAATTAATTAATTAAAGAAAAGAGATTGATAATTAATAAAAGAAAACCAAGAAAGGTACTCAGGACCCCAGCTTGTTCTGCTTCAGTGCACAGCCCTCCTAGGAGGGAATGGGTGGAGGGTGGCGCTGGGGGTGGTTGTGGTTCTGCCTGGATGTCGCAGCCTTCACTGCCACATGGCCTGGCCACCATAGGGCTGGGCAGGGGAAGTCCAGCTTCGGGCTCAGGGTGAAGGGGGAGAGGCACGGGTGAGCCCTGGCCATGTCAGCGCTACACGCTGAACCAGCTCATTAAAGGAAGAATATCTTGGTCAGGTACTCAGTCCCTGTGCAGGCCTGCTCCATTCCCTACTCTGGTTTCATTTTTTCTTTTTTAGACTTTATTTACTTATTTGAGAAAGAGAACGAGAGAGAGCATGAACAGGGGGAGGAGCAGAGGGAGAGGGAGAAGCAGACTTCCTGCTGTGCAAGGAGGGCTCGATCCCAGGACTCTGGGATCATGACCTGAGGTGAAGGCAGATGCTTAACCGCCTGAGCCACCTGAGGGCCGCTCTTCTCTGGTTTCTTAGTCATTTGATACTGTTCTGTCCACCCTGTTTTAATTACTCTGACCTTGTAAGCATATCTTGTGTCTGGAAATACAAATGCCCCCCTTTATTCTTTTCCATTTACTTCTTCAGAATGAATGATACGTTCTCATGACTCAAAAATACAAAGGAGAGGAGCATTTCAGTTTCATCCCAAGCCTCCTACAGTGGCTCTGCCCACTCCTGGCTCCCTGTCGTCCTGCACACCAGCATTTGGTGCGGGGGGGGGGGGGGGGGGGGGGGGGGCCCCCCCCGGGGGGGGCCCTTTTAATCTGCAGGCCCCCCTGGGGGGCAGACAGGTGGGGCCCCTTGTCTTGTAGGTGGGACAGCCAGGCCCAGGGAAGCTGGGTCACGTGGTCAGGCCCATGGAACCTCACCAACACCGGAGGGTCTCACCCTTAAGCATCTGGGGCCATCTGATGAGTTGTTCCTGCAGGGGAAGCCTGTCCGTGCCCTTCTGGAGGGCGTGGTGGGAGGGCCGGAGCAGGGGCTTGCTGTGGGCACTGTGTGGCAGGTGGAAAACTGGGCACACAGCTGTGTACTGATTGGATATAAAACTTACCGACAAGAGATCCAGAGCTGCAGAACAGCATATAACAGGCGGTGCTGTGGATGGTCAAATGTCCTCAGGCCTTTGGCTTTCCCTACGTGCTCATATATGTACATCCTTGCACAGGAAGAGGGCTGGAGGGTTCATACACCCCTGAGAGCACCTCTATCCAGGGGAGGGAGGGTCAGAAGTGTGGCGTGCCCTTATCTGAACCTTGTTGCTACAGGGATGGTCCCCACCACTCCTCGACCATGAGCCTCCTAGGTTCTCCCCCGGGAGCCTAGAGGGCCCCCCGTCCTTTGTGTCTCGCTCCCCTCTGTGTGTTGCCTGTCTGCACCCATCTTCTAGAAGGGGTGGCGGGACACTCACAACCACAGGGATTTCGTCTTCATTCCCAGCACCTGGCATGGAGTGTCACTCTCGGGAAGGGCCCCAGTGCTTTTCTTCTGGGACCGTGAAGCTTGGTTCCGAGTGGAGTCGCAGTCTGCTGTCTCCACCCCTATCCCCCAAGACACCGGCCTATTTGCTGTCTCTGTCAGTTTGTCTTGCCCAGTCTAGAACTTCATAGACCTAGAATCCGACAGTTCAGTAAATGCTGTAGTGCACACACATACAGATATGCGCACAGACCATATGCTTCAGCTGCATGCATTCTCGTCAGCCGATCAAGGGACACCCCAGCAGCCCACGGCCCCTTGTGTCTCCTCCCACTTAGCCTGCGTACCCCCGTTCCCACAGCTAGCCCCTCTGCTGCCGCTGATTACCCTAGCGCTTGGACTTAACCTAAAGGAACTGTGGAGTCGGACTCTTGCATGGACTTGTGGGAGTCCCCCACGTGATTCCAGCAGCGGCGGCTGGCTCGTCCTCATCCTCATCCTTGTTGCTGCGGGGTGTGCCTTTATGGGACCACAGAATATTCATCTCTTCTCTTGTTGGGGACATCTGGTTTTTTACTCTGGGGCTGTCGAGGAAGGATCTAGAGCCAGTGTGGCCCAGCCCTACTCGATGAATGCCATGATGTGTCCAAAGCCGAGGTTGAAGACTGTCCGCTCGGGAAACAGACATGTTTTTTCTTTTCTTTTTTTTCCCCCCCAGTTCCTTCCCAGAGCTCCTACATGAGATAGGTAAAACCAGGATCAGAACTTGCTTTTATAAACAGGTCCTCATACAAGGTGTGGGGTGTGAGTCTCCCCGTGTGTTCTGGGGGCAACAGAGAAGCATTTGAAGAAGGCAGATGAAATGATGCTTCCATGGCCTGTGGCCCTCCTCTGTGTTCTGTGGGTACCCATGTGCCACCAGGACTCAGGGAGGTCTGGCATGCCCGGCCCCCACCGAGCTGTCTGGCTTTCTGTTCTTCCCTAATTGTCCTTTCCCCTTTATTTCTTTTTCCAGGCTGAAAAGTCTTCCACTAAGGAAGCAGTAACTGGATTCTGCCATGGCCTGTCCCAGTACCAGATCTCCTCCGTGATGGGAACCCATTGATTGCTCGCTTAATACATTGTACAGATTGTATTTATATGTAAATTCATGCTGTAAAATAATTTTTAAGACCTTGACATTTCAAAGGCTGCCTTGAAAGGTTGCAGAAATTGATTTCTATTTTTAACTTTAGTTAGTGTCAGAGGAAATAATTCAGACTGTACAGTTTAATTAAAATGGAATTTTTCTATTTTCTTCTTGATTTTTTTATTTCCTGAAACTTTTAAAAAGAAATGAGAAATGAAGGGTTCTCTCTGATTTTGTTCATGAAGAAAGCCGAGTCCAGATAAGGACAGTTGGACTTAATTAAGGGCTTGTGGGAGAGAAGGAGGTGGTTGTTTCCCTGCTTCTCAGGCACGGGGCTCCTGCCTCTTGTGGTGGGTGGTGGTGGCCAGGAGCCCAGTGGGTGGCCCAGCACCAGCATCAGTCCTAGCGGGTGGCCTCACCCTTTCCGGGTAGATGTCACCAAAGTGTCCCAGACAGTCTCCAAGAGCAAGAGCCAGGGAGTGCGTGCCCACACCCTGGGTCCCACAGTCTCCAGGTCCTTGCTCTGCAGCCCTGGGTCCCCGCTTGGGTGCTGCCTCATTGGCACTGATGAGACCTTTGAGAAAAGTGCAGGGGTTCAACGTGACATTATAGAAAGAGCAGAACAATTTCCAAAGTAGAAAGAAGGAGAAAACCGCTTCTACTTCTACTACCCAGAGATGATAACCCTTAGTATTTGGGAATATCCAAAAAGAAAAAATATTTTTTCTTTTTAAAGATTTTATTTATTTATTAGAGCAAGAGAGAGCATGAGCAGGGAGAGCTACAGAGAGAGGGAGAAGCGGGCTCCCCGCTGAGCAAGGAGCCCCATGTGGGGCTTGATCCCAGGACCGTTGGATCATGACCCCAGCAGAAGGCAGACGCTTAACTGAGCCACCCAGCTGTCCCCACCCAGTCTTTTTCTGTCAGTGACGCTGCTACCCGGCTAGAGGTGACATTTGTTCCCTGTCATTAACAGCCGTGACAGATATTTCCTTCATGCTCTTATATATTGTGTGTCCCCGCCCCGGACAGCTGCATATGAATTCATCCAGGGCCCATTCCGTAACTTAGTGTCCATTTCTCTGTTGTTGACACCAAGTGGGTTGGCCAGGAGTTCCCGCACAAGCAGAGGGCTACCCAGAAACCATCCCGGGAGACGGAGCCAGGAAGAGCCAAATGGAGGCCGAGGGGATGGGGCTGCTGGTTTCACACGCTTGGCCTCAACCCTTTTATGCCTGGACTCAAACCCCGTTTTTCTGGGAGTGAGCGTTCTCGGCGTGGAGATGACGCAAGGGGGATCGCAGCGCCGGGGGAGGGCACGCGATTCTGCGGAGATGGGCGCAGGGCGCAGGCGCACGGCGCCGCCGTTCCGGCCGGGCTGGGTGCTGGGTGTTGGGTGCCGGCCACCAGCAGGCTGGGCTCGGAGATGGCCTCCCAACCGCCGTCCGCCCCCTTGTGCTCGGAATCCCTGGATGATGACCTGAAGACAGTGTCCGAGCTGCGTAGAGTGAAGCTGCCCTCGATGCCCTCCAGCGACCTTGAGCCCCTCTTCCGCAAGCTGCCGGCTGTGATCAGGGCCTGTCGCCGCTTCAAGCTGTTGACTTTGGAGGCGCGCCAGAACCGGCTGCTGGCTCCCCTTGACCCCCTAGAGGTCAGCAAGGACTCTCCACCACCCGAGGAGCACCCGAAGTCTGAGAAGAGGTTCTGGGGTGACCAGGAGACCCTCTCCAAGGTCAGACCACAGGGGTGGGGGTGAGGAACGCAGACTTGAACCCCATATGTGGGAGGTCGCAGTGAGCTGGCTAAGGAGAGCCGTGGGGAGCCACTTGGTTTTGCCAGCGACCCCCAGTGAAGCCCCTGGGCTGCTGTCTCTGCGAAAACAAGGCTGCCTTGGGGGAGGATAGTGTTCCAAAGTGGGGGATCCTGACCCCACCCAGATTGTGGTTCTGGCTGAGCCTTCCAAATGTCCCCGTGGTGACATTGCCAAGTGCATACCCCAGGGACATTGAAGGAGCCCTCCCTACCCATGAAGCAGTTAGGTCCAGAAGCAACAGATCAGCTTGAGATGCTTGGCTTTGTGGCTGGCCCTCAGGACACCTGGGAGCAGAGCCCGCAATGAGGATTGTTGACTGGCTGTGTGATCTCTTCCAGCAAAGTGTGTGTCAGCGCTTTTAGTCATGATATTTATTCTGATTTTTGAGTAAAATTAAAGGACAGCACAGAAGTTCTCAATAGAACACCCCCAAGATTCAAATTCAATAGACTTCAAATGTTCTGCCTTTTTTTTTTTTTTAAAGTAGGTCTCCCTAACATAGCAGCCTTGCCCTCACTGCCCCATTTCTCTCTACAGAGGCAAGAAATGTTTCTAGGTTCTTCTGTATCCCTACAGAGATAATTTATGCATTTCTGAGTATATACATGTATATCTCCCCCCTTCTCTTAGACCCCTTATGCACATAGTTTTAAAATTTTTGACTTAGCATATATTAGAGATCTTTCCATATCATAAAGAAGCAATTTCCTTGTTCCTTTTTACTGGTAGTATCCCACCAGCTGGCCGTCTTCTAATGACTTTAACCAGTCTCCTGTGGATGCACATGCTGGTGGCTTACGATTTTTTTTGACCTAAGATTTTTGTGACCCATGAAGAAGACAGAAGTTGAGAAGGTCTGTGACTTCTCCCAGAGGAAAGTTTCTGACTTAAGCGTTCTCTACCTGACCCAACTGCTGATCCCCAGCGAAGGCAACAGAAGGACATTTTCTTCAGACCTGCAAAGACTCAAGAAATGATGCTTCTCTTTGAGGACAAAGTTACTCAGGGGAGCTCTCCAGCAAACAGAAAAAAAGAGAAAAAAATCTCCCTCTGCAGCGCCCCCCACCCCTGTGCTCTGTTTTGCAAATGGTTCATCTCCCTGTTGTCCGCCTGCCGTGTGACCTGTGGACATCAAGGCCTGTATGGCCCCTCTGGGCCCTGAGCTGGCCCTGAGTGCTCGCTGTGGGACTGCCATGCCACTTCCCTTAGGGAGCCGGAGGAGCCTGCCATGCCCATGAGCGCTGGACTCTTGCTCCCGACCTGGGGTCTTTCCCCTCGGTTCCCACTGGCCCTGCAGTGCCTAGATCAAGGCCTAACGAAGCTATGACGTCTTTATTGATCAAGTGAAGGAATGCTACGTATATTAAAAAAAAAAAACTGATTTTTTTTGTGGTTTTTACAAAAAGTGGACTGTCCTCTATATACCATTTTTGTTAGTGCCTCCGAATATGTCTCTGTGTATTTGGAACATCTCTCCGCAGCGCCTTGTGTGCTCTTTCCCTAGTAAACCCCGAAAGTACTATGCCCAGAAAAAAACATGGAATGGGCGTCCCCAGAAAGGATGATGGGGTTGATGGATGCAGCCCACCCCGTTCCTGCTGTTTTTTTTTTTTTTTAAAGATTTTATTTATTTATTTGTTTGACAGAAATCACAAGGAGGCAGAGAGGCAGGCAGAGAGAGTGGGAAGCAGGCTCTCTGCTGAACAGAGAGCCCGATGCGGGGCTGGATCCCAGGACCCTGAGATCACGACCTGAGCCAAATGCAGAGGCTTAACCCACTGAGCCACTCAGGCTCCCCCCTGCTGGTTTTTATGCCCATAATTAAGCTCTGTTTTTTGCCACGAGAGAACGAAGACCATGAGTTGGGCCTGGAGACCAAGGCAGCTGCAGAACATGGAGCTGGAGGTGGCCACCCGACGACCAGGGATCCAGGCACCCACGACAGAAGGGGTCGCATCTGGAGGACACACATCCCCTGCACACCATGGGGGGTGGGCAGTGGACCATTTCAGGCTTGCTCCTTCTATGCCCCCTCCCTTCTAAAAATACCTCTTCATTGAGATGTAGTTCACACAGTGCGCAGTTCACCCATATAAAGTGTGGGGTTTCAGTGTATTCCCAGAGTCCTGCAACAGCGCCACATCACTGTAGAACACTTCATTGTCTGGAAAAGAAGCCCCATCCCCATTTCTCCTCAGGCCCTTCTCCCAGTTCGAGCCAACCACTGATTCACTCTCTCTCTATAAAGTTGCTTCTTCTAGAACTTTCCTAGAAAGAGAACCAAACAGCATGTGGGCTTTTGTGACTGGCTCCTTTTCCTTCCATATAATGTTTTCGAGGCTCATCCACGCTGCAGGAGGTACTCGTACCTCCTTTAATTAAAAGTCCATATATACACGTATAATAAACACATGTTCTATGGATCATAAATAGACTTTGTTCTTTAGAACAGTTTTTGGTTCAGAGCAAAGGTGAGCAGAAGATGGAGAGATTTCTTGTATCCCCTGCCTCCACACATGCACAGCCTCATCAGCACTCTCCACTAAGTGAAATACATGGAAAATTGACAATCCTACAATGATACCCGAAGTCCGCAGTTTACCTTACAGCTTCACTCTGGGTGTTGTACATTGTGTGGGTTTGGACAAATATATGCCAATGTGTACAGTCATGTTATCACAGAGAGTAATTGCGCTGTCCTAAAAATTCTCTGGGCTCTGCCTGTTCTCTCTCCAAAGCTCCCAACCCCTCGTAACCACTGATCTCTGTACTGTCTCTCTAGCTTCCAGAATGTCCTATATCTGGACGCATACATTATGTGGGCTTTTCAGACTGGCTTCTTTCACTAGTAATTTCATTAGTAATTTGAAGTCTGCTAATGAGTGTCCTGAGTCTATGAATGAATGTACTGAATCTTTCATTAGTAACGTGCATTTAAGTTTCCTGAATGTGGTTTTTTTTTTTTTTTTTAATGACTCATGTATCTTTTCATGGCTTGATGACTTCTTTATTTTTAGGGCTGAAAAACATCCCATTATTTGGATGTACCATAGTTTATTTATCCATTCACCTGCCAAAGGACATCTTCAGGTTTTTCAAGGTTACTTCCAAGTTCTGGCAATTATGGATAAAGCTGTAAAAACATCCGTGTGCAGGATTTTGTGTAGACAGAGTTTTAAACTCCTTTGGATAAATACCAAGGAGTATGATGGCTGCATTGTATGTGAAGAGTATGTTTGGTTTTATAAGACACTGTCAAACTGTCTTCAAAGGCGCCTGTACCATTTTGCATCCCCACCAGCAAAGAATCAGAGTTCCCGTTTCTCCACGTTTGCCAACATTTAGTATTGATAGTGTTCCAGATTTTGGCCATTAAGTATGTGTATAGTGGTATCTTTTTTTAAAAGATTTTATTTATTTATTTGACAGAGATCACAAGCAGGCAGAGAGGCAGGCAGAGAGAGAGAGGGGGAAGCAGGCTCCCCGCTGAGCAGAGAGCCCGATGTGGAACTGGATCCCAGGACCCTGAGATCTAAAGAGTCATTGCCATACCCAAGATCACCTATTACTATCTAGGAGTTTTTAAAATTTACATTTTGCATTTAGGTCTGTGATCCATTTTGTGTTTTTGTAAAGGATGTAAGGTGGATGTTTCAATTTAGTTTTCTACATATGGATATCCAATTGTTCCAGCATCATTTGTTGAAAGACTATCATTTCTCCATTGTATTGACTTTGACCCTTTATCAAAGAGCAGTTGGTTTTATTTATGTGGATCCGTTTCTGGACTTTCTATTCTGTTCCATTGATCTGTTTCTCTGTCCTTTCACTAGTATTACACTGTCTTGATCACTGTATCTTTTTTCTTTAAGATTTTATTTATTTATTTGACAGACAGAGATCACAAGTAGGCAGAGAAAGAGGGGGAAGCAGGCTCCCCGCTGAGCAGAGAGCCCGATGCAGGACTTGATCCCAGGACCCTGAGATCATGACCTGAGCCGAAGGCAGAGGCTCTAACCCACTGAGCCACCCAGGCACCCCTTGATCACTATATCTTTAGAGTAAGTCTTGAAGTGGTGTAGTGTCGGCACTTTGTTCTTCTCCTGGATCTTTTGCCTGTCCACATAAACTTTATAATCACTTTGTCAATACCACAAAATAACATTTTGGGATTCTGATTGGGATCGCACTGAATTCATAGAACATGTTGGGAAGAACTGACATCTTGACAATATTGAGTCTTCTTATCCGGAATAGATCTCTGTTGATTTAATTCTTTGATTTTGTTCATCAGAGTTCTGTAGTTTTCCTCATATAGCTCTTACACATATTTTGTTAGATATATGCCTAAATATTTAATTTTGTGGGGTGGAATTTAAAATTCCACTTGTTTGGGGTGCCTGGGTGGCTGAGTTGGTTAAGCGTGTACCTTCAGCTCAAATCATGATCCCAGGGTCCTGGGATTGAGCCTTGCATGGGGAAATCCCTGCTCAGCGGGGAGTCTGCTTCTCCCTCTGCCCCTCCCCCTGCTTGTGCTCCCTTTCTTTCTCTCTCTCTCTCAAAAAAATAAAATCTTGGGGCACCTGTCATTAAGTGTCTGCCTTCGGCTCAGGTCATGATCCCGGGGTTCTGGGATGGAGCCTTGCATCGGGCTCCCTGCTTTGCAGGAAGCCTGCTTCTCCCTCTCCCCCTGCTTGTGTTCCCTCTCTCACTGTGTCTCTCTCTGTCAAATAAATAAATAAAGTCTTTTAAACATTTTTTTTAAATCTTTTAAAAAATTCTACTTGTTCATTGCTGACATAGCAAAAATTGATTTTTGGGGGCACCTGGGTGGCTCAGTGGGTTAAAGCCTCTGCCTTTGGCTCGGGTCATGATCCTGGGGTCCTGGGATCGAGCCCCACGTTGGGCTCTCAGCTCGG